CAGTGCCCGTGGAGATCAGAAGAGGATATCAGACTTTCTGGAGCTGGAGTTGCAGGTGACTGTGAGTCACCCTGTGGACGCTAGGAACTGGACTTGGATCCTCTGCCAGAGCAGGGCTCACTCTGAACATCTGAGTCATCTCCCAGTCCACTGCTGGGCCTTACGTTCTTTCTGAATGGGAAGGGTGGTTGTCTGAAGCCTGTGGAGAAGAGCAAGGGAAACTCCCTTTGGATTATAAATGTGAGCTGATCAAAGTTAGCAGGGTACTGAGGCCATGGGCTTGTCCAACATTGACACCATGGGAAATGAGTTCAGAGGGTCTGAAAGTTTCTGACAGTGCAGACCTGGCTTGCCTTCTGACTTAGTAATGTCAGTCTGTGGAGTACAGCATTTGGAAAGGGTGGCAAAGCAAAAGGAAATGTGTTCAAGACTCCACTCAACTTGCTCTATTCACACATGTGAAATCTATAGCCTTCAAAACCCAGAACTTGAGGACATATGACATATGAATCATATTATGCATTATGATATACACAAATACATCTGTAGTGAATGTACCATGATGCAGACTGAATTAGTTTACAACTAGAAACAGCCCAAATTAAAGTCAGAGAAGCAAGATTATGTAGAAAAAAAAGAACATTAGAAAACGTTATAATCATTCCAAATGGAAAATATAGGATACATTCATATGTGGACAAATATGGAAAAAAGATATTTATGTTTAAATTATATTGACAGAACGTGAGGCTGTTCGAGGTGGTACATTTGTTAAGCTTAGCATTCAAGAGGCAGGTGCAGGAGGCTCCACCACAAGTTTGAGACCAACTTGGTCAACACAGCAACTTCAGGCCAGCTAAGGCTGCATAGTGAGACCTTATCTCAAAAATGAAACAAGAAGAATACAAACTAGTGCAAAAATAATCTTAAAGAATAAAACACAAAACAGCTTATTTATTAACAGTGATACAAGAAAGCCATGGCCTCGTAATGAAACCAGAGTGACAGAAGACTGCATTAATCAAAACTTCTGTTTAATGAAAACAAACAGGCAATCTACGAATAGATACCATGCTGCACGGAAATCAGACACCACCAATTGCATTTGACAGGCTCCAAGGGGCAGGATCAGCATATTCTATGGTGAAAACAGAGGGGAGTTAAATATGCTTTGATTTGAAGTTTTGGTGCAAGTTTACTAAAGGGCAGATAATGCCAAACACCTTGGCCTTAGGTGATAGCTTGTGGAGCTTCTTATTGGCCCTGAGTTGGCAAAAGCCAGGTTCTTTCTGGTCCCCCACCCCCAGGCTGGCCACTGGTGAGGGTGGGTCTGACCTACATCGTCTTTTCTTGTTTGTATGTGGAATCTCTGCTCATGTATCACAGACTCATTACAGGATAGGGAGGCAGCTAAAGAGCAGCCAGCTAGCCGAGGAGGCGGTTTGTGAAAGGGCTGAGTTTTTGATCCCTCTGGCTGCATGCTCCACCTCTGCAAACTCAGGAGCCTGGAAGTTTCGAGGAACAGAAACTGGGAGACAAGTTACACAATGATAATTTTTCACTGAGCCCTGCTGGGACCTTGCTGTCAGCGTGTGGTGGTGGTGGGGGACGGCTTTCACATGTGCCCCTATGAGCTCATCACTCTTCCCAGTTGTTTCCCTGTGCCCTCTCACGGAATCCCCCTCCGCCTTTTGACATCAGTGTTACCCAAGACGTAGAAGAAGTAATGTCAATGCAAATATCACTGTAACTATCACTCAGGCAACTGTAAAGTCCCATTGTTGTTCCTCCTTTGTCAGAGGTAGCTAGATTGGATCCTTTTTCACCAAACATTTCAAGAATTTATTATCTACTTTTTGCCCTAACCATGTCTATTGGATGTACTCATCGAATCCTTGCAAGAAGAAACCAACCCAGGCTAGAAATTGTGGACAGAAAGTATTTTATACCTGTGTCACCTGGATGAACATACTCCACCTGCCTGGGCTGGTAAAACTTCAAAGCAGTAAAAGTATTATGTGGACTTTTTAAAAACATACTGGAAGCCGGGCGGTGGTGGCGCATGCCTTTAATCACAGCACTCGGGAGGCAGAGGCAGGTGGATCTCTGTGAGTTTGAAGCCAGCCTGGTCTACAAGAGCTAGTTCCAGGACAGGCTCCAAAACTACAGAGAAACCCTGTCTCAAAATACCAAAAAATAAATAAATAATAATAATAATAAAATAAAAAAATAAAAACATACTGGAGGATAAACTTGTACTATGGGCACATGAAACTATTTTAGAAGGGTAAATAATAAATTTGGGAAGAAGAAAATAGGATTGACTCTACGAGATAATCTGTCTGAGAATAAGTGATCAACATAAAAGGAAAATTTAAACTCTGGCGAAATGTCAGACAAAATCAGATTTTACACTCGCCCAGCTTCTTACGTTTCACAGAGAATTTGCTATTATGATCTTATTTAATTCTCATGGTGGGAGATATAGTAATTGTCAGGTAGGGGAACTGCGGGAGATTCCCTAGCTTTCCAAAGGTGCCTGCCTGTCATCAGTCAAGTTGGGTTCAGCTAAAGCCCGGTTTGATGCTGTTCAAGGAAGGTGCAAAGCCTGGAACAAGCCTTCCTTTAACCCATCTGGAGTTTAATGGATCTCTATCTTGTAAGTATAAATCCACCAGGAGGCATCTAGAAGGCGATGGAAAGATGTGGTGGGGTCCCGAAGTGAAGGGGGCAGAGCAGAGGGCAGATCACGGGCTTATGAGTTGGTACATTCTAAAAGGCACAAACCCCAACTCCTATCTAAACTTTGAAAGGAGACATGTTGCTCAGGATTTTGTCATCGTGGTTAAAAAAAAAAAAATTAAGATAAATCTGTCCTTGGAACTGGAGAGATGGTTCAACATCTAAAAGTTAGTACTGCTTTTTCCAAGGGCACTGGTTTGGTCCACAGCATCCACAGCTGGCAGCTCACAACCACCCATAACTGCAGCTCCAGGGGAGCCAGTGCCATGGTCTCTGTAGGTGCCTGCACGCACTCACATGAACATATTCCTACACAGACACACAGATGTACACATAAGTAAAAACTAAATCGTTCTGAAATCTGCCTAGACATTCCATGAATGTGTGTTATACTGACTAAAGTAGACTAAAGTCTACATGACATTTTTCTGGGTTTTGTTATTTTATTATTACTTTCCTTTGCAATTTCATACAGTTTTATAATGCATACTGATTACTCTCAGTCCTTGCTCTCTTTAACGTCCATCCTACCCATCTATTTCCCCCTACAAATCTCTTTCTCATGTTTCTATCTATTTGTTTTGCTTTCTGACTCACAGAGTTTAGCCAGGGTTATTTGTGCCGCCATGGATTGAGAGTTTGTATCCCCATGGATTTAGAGCTTTCAGTTGGAGCCTGCTGGCTTACCAGGGGATAACACAACGGAAAGCAACGGTTTTTCCTCTCTAAGAATCCATTTCACCAATAGTTCAGCAGTAAGGGGTACGCGTTATGATCACTTCTCTCTTCGTATTTACAGGGCCAGTCTGATGCAGGCCAAGTGTCAGTAACTACAGCTGCTGTGGGTTCATTATTACAGTGGCCAGGTCCTGCCTAAAGCACAGCTCTATCCCCGGTCTTCTTGCTGTTACATTTTTCCTGCCCCTCTTCCACAAGCTTCCTTGAGCCTTGGAGTGGGTGGTGTACGACTTATTTAGGGCTGAGCCCTCACCATCACTTTGTTTTGGCACTGGGCAGCCAAGGGTCTTTGAAGCCACCATCATTTACTGCAAACTGACTTGTAAATATTTTTTTCTGTCTCTCTTAGTTCTGTCCATTGAAACCTATTATTGACTCAGAGATGACGCATTATCTCTTCTGAGAAAGCCCTTTGGTGCACCTCTCTCTTCTACAGCCAGCACGTTCTAGAACATCTTGCTGCTTCCCACCTCGGGTGGCACAAAACACGTGGGATTTACCCACCTATCTCCTGTGATCCCAACCCGTGTGCTCCACATGCAGAATTGACAGGAAGTCACCCGAGGTTCTGTGAGCTTATGTACTCTTACAAAGATCTGAGTTCTTTCGAGCCCACCGCAGAAAGGACCTCAGCGAAGGACTCCCTTCATCTAAACCCTTCCCGGTTTCCCAGGATCATATTTCACGCTGACCTTCTGTGCCACAATAGTTGCCTTTGGGGACTATTAACAGCTGGCACTGGCAAATAGGAGAACCTCATCGAGAAGGTTAAATCATAAAGTTTCCAATCAAATAGCAGTATAGCAGTCATCCAACATGGACAAACTGATAGGAAGTTTGCTATTACTCCCATCAGTTCTATTCAGTAGGAAGGTAAACGTCCCAAAGCCAGAGCCTCCGCTCCCTGAAGAGCCTTTCTCGGCATGGCTTGCAGTAAACTATTGGTAGAGGAACTTAAAGTTCTAGAGCGAAAAGTATGTCACTTCTGCCAAAGTCGCTTGTTCTTCAGAACCCAAACTGATGCTCCCTTTACTAGTGATTTACAATAACAATTAAATGACTCTCGTTTTATTGAGGTTTCTGTATAATAAGAGAAGAGCTTCTCCATCACAGTTGTAAAACGGTAAGAGAAAATGCTGAGTTTATGAAGTGCAGTGATCTTCCCATACTCTCTGCCCTCCCTTGGGTCACGTATGGTTATGGTGCTGTTCACAATTTAAAGGCTGACCTACAAGGCAAACAAAGGCCAAGCAATAGCGAGAATACTACTGGAACTTGAAATGAGAAGCAGACTTTTTTTTTTTTAAAAAAAAAAAAGTGGAGTGATTATTTTCAATTATACCACATTCTATGAAATGCTAAAAAAGCCTCCCATTACATCTTGTACAGCCCAGGAAAAGCTCTTTGATCTGTGAATAGGCTAATCGAAGGACTATTCACGTAATTCCCGTCCTTTCAGGGAGAGCGGCAATCTGTGAGCAGAACGGAAAGTACAAGTCATACAAGGCATGCAGTCTTACTTTTTCGTCATCGTCCGTAAATGGAGCACCCTCAGGAATCTTATTTATTGCTTGGGCCACACCGATAATCTCACCATCGCTGCTTCGGATAGGCATGCACAAGAGAGATTTTGTCTTGTACCCAGTGAGCTTGTCAATCTCATCATTGAATCTTCGGTCCTGAAAAGAAGCCAGAGAAGGCATTCACTGCAAAGGGCAAGGAGGTGAGGGACAAATGGGAAATGGGAGTTCATACGTCACTGGGAAAGGCCCTCCTGCCCCCAGCTTTTATTCTCAATAAATGGATTTGATTTAGTCTTTAGACCACCAATGGAAAATAGATAATAGATTATCACCATCATTGTGAGCCAGGCTAATAAAAGGAAAAGGGGCCGGTGTTCTAAGGGAACTCCATTGTGTTCTACTCAACAGAATATGTTAAATGATACCTGGATATAAAATATTATGTGAGAAAGTGATATAACAAATACATAAAAAATATTGAAATAGACAAGAAAGAATTACTTTATTTTTAATTAAAATTATTCTGGAAAAAAATCTATGCACCCATTCTGATATTCCAAAAATAGTTCCAAAAAGAAATGAGAGAGGAGAGAAACGGAATACCAGCTAAAAGATATAGGATAAATGATTAAATTATGTAATACCTTTTGCCAACTACCAGTAAAACTACTGTCGTGAGCAAGGGTCATCATTGACTGCTAAGACCCTTAGGTGAAGGATATTAAACAGGGCATTCACATGGTCTTCAAAGGCCACCCTAACGTGCTTATTAATGATAATGCTAATATATGCTCTGTAATGAGGAGATCTGGCAGATTCCATCTTAGACGAGTAATTCAATTTAGCCTGAGACCACGCATGAGTCGAGATATCATCATCGTTTCCTGACATGATGCCTTGAGAAGGATATGTAGCACCAAGGACGTAGGTGCTCGTGTCAAATGGATAGCAGCAGGAATCACATCCTGTAAGGAGCCGTCAGAACGTCGCCATGGTACTGGCGTCCTGCAGCTTGGTGGTAGACGGATCCCTTTGATGTGGCCTCGCAGGCCAGAGCGCCTTGGGCTTGTATTTTTGCATAACTGATCCCTTTGATGTGGCCTCGCAGGCCAGAGCGCCTTGGGCTTGTATTTTTGCATAACTGAGCCTTGGTTCCCTAGCCTATCTCGAAACCCCAGAGGTTCAGCAGAATGGTATTAACCAATGAGCATCCGAGCCTCTCCACCCTAGAAAAGCGGCTGCCTTTCGGTTCCTCTCTCTCTCATTTCCTCTTTCGTTTTCTCTCCCTCACCTGCTCTCCCTCTCTCTGTCTTTTCTCTCTTTTTCCTTTTTCCCCAATTTTCCTCAACCGAGTGCTCCAAATAAAGGCGTGATTTGGGAAGGAATCTCGATTTCGTGGTCGCTTCTGCTTGCTGGACAAGGGATGCGTCTCACAACATCATTTAGGAAAAAAAAAAAACTAAGCAAATGGAACTGGAGAGGTGACTCATTTGGTAAAACACTTGCTACACAATCATGAAGATCCCCAGCACGCTATGAAAAGCCAGGCACAGCTGTGTGTGTCTGCAGTCCCAGTGCCGGGGAGACAAAGATGGAGGGGATCCCTGGAGAGACACCTGATGCTGAGGTTGTCTCTGGCCTCTACACACGCACGCAGGAACAGGCACGCCATCAATCAATACACCCTTGTACGACTGTTCGGAGTTCAGCTCATCAGAGAGGCTGGGCCTTCCTGCTGCCACATAGGCCCTAAAATTTCAGCTTGGAGTGATCTCTTTGACCAACCCACACAACAGAGAACATCCCAACACATGGGAGCTGCAAATAGTCGTGTGGCTCTTCATTGGATCTTTTGGGGAGAAAGTTGGGCAAGGTTAGATCACAGCCTCAGTAGTGTGTTTACTGCCGGGCTATGTCTACTGCGGTTCTTTAGGAGTGTATCCTAGCCTTAATCTCAAGTTATACATGTTAGGATGTCTGGGAGGGTCGATATCGCGCTACTTTCAAATTATAAATAAAGAAGGGAAAACAAAGAGGGAAGAAGCGAAGGACGGAGAGTGGGAGGGAGGGGAGAAGGGGGACCTGCTGCAGGAGGAGTAGGAACCGAACGCACTCCACGAGCATGATGGAAGCGATGCCATTGGTTTCCTGTATCGAGCCCAGGGTTAGCGTGATCTCACTAACTCTCCGCGACTGTGTGTTAAGGCCCCTTAAAACACATAACCACAGTCAGCCGCCACCGGCTGCATCGAGCTGTTGATTTTCACAAGGGCTTGAGGTGACCGCTACCGACAAGACAAGAACCTCAAGACAAAACACTGAGTCCAGGCTGGGTGGCTACCGATGTGATGAACACCATGACCAAAGCAGCTTGGAGAGAAAGGGTTTATTTCGGTGTATGCTCTCAGGTCACACTTCATCATGGACAGAAGTCAGAGCGGGAACCCTGCTGCAATATAATGGTGGGTATAAGGCAGTAAATGTTTTTTTGTTTGTTTTATTTTTTATTTTTTTTTTGTTTTTCCGAGACAGGGTTTCTCTGTAGCTTTGGAGCCTGTCCTGGAACTAGCTCTTGTAGACCAGGCTGGCCTTGGACTCAAAGAGATCCACCTTCCTCTGCTGGGAGTGCTGGGATTAAAGGCGTGTGCCACCATCGCCCGGCAGCAGCAAATGTTTAATGACAACTTGAGCATCATTCACAGATTCAAATATGGAGCAAAAGTACAAGTATTCATAAGACTAAGAAACATCAGATGTATGCTGTCGCCATCAGAAGAGAAGGGAGGAAAGGGTCACAGAGAGTTATAGCCGGGACTTCAATGAACAATAGTTTCACTTCTTTACAAAAGCAGCTAAGAGGCAAGATCAGGAATCTCTGGAAAGGAACTGACCCCTGGGTCATATGGAGGCCGAACTATAGTGATGGAGACATTCTCTGGGAAGTCCTGATCTTCTCGGCATTTCTGGAGAGCCACCTGCCCAGGTCAGTGTGGACATGCGGTCACCTGTCACCTAGTCTCCAGACTGTTCCTCTCCACCACACTGTTGAGAAAGTGGTCAAGGGTTTTGTTCCTGAGTCTCAGAATTTGGTGACATTTTTCTTTTTCTTTTTTTACATTTATTTTATTACTGTTTTACTTTATGTTATATTATGTGTAATATTTTCCCCAATATTATAATATAAAATATTATATATTATATAATATAATATATTACATATTTTATATAATTTATTATATATTATGTTATATAATGTATTATATAATTACACAAAACAATATCATTTTATTTTTTTATTAAGATTACTGGGGCGTTATTTTGTCTTTTTATATTTTATTTTTAATTTTATTATTTTATTTTTAATTAGCATGCAACTTAAAAGGTTTCCTGTGGCATTTTCAGGCACAATGTGTGTGAGCTGATCACATTCACACCCTTGCACCATAGGGGAGTTGTCCCTGGCTGCCCACTTCCTCCTCCACGCTCTCTTCACTAGACCCTGCAGCGGCCACTCCCTTGTGCAGAGAGAACCTGGCAGAAAGCTGCCCAGACGCTCTGCAGTTGGTCTCGCCAGGCTCTGTTATTTCAACCACTAGGACACGGGCATTGTGGCGCTGCTGGCCTGCAGTGGAGGCTCTGACTGCACCCCCTTTGCTTCCATCCTGTCGTGCGCGATTCAACAGAGAGTAGGAGGAAACCCCAAGTCAGATCCACGGGAGAGATGGACCTTTTCGCCTAATATAGAAATTTAACCTTTGAGGCGAAGCTCTACAGCAGATGTGTCTGAGAACTTTGAGTTAATGGGATCGTCTCCCAGCTTCTCCTGAGAGCCGCAGTGCAGCTAGACATAATGGGCACGGGTTTCCCTTTTGTTTACCTTTCTCTTAAGGGGATTTGATTTTATTACTACAATATATGACCAAATGGCTCCTCTGTTTGTCCTGGTAATGAAGGGTAAAGGGAAAGACTGTTAATTCATAAGTAAAACTTTGCAGAGGCTTAGACAGTGTTTAATGTTCGGAGCGTGCGTCCCTACGTTCAGCTATTGCCATGATGGTTGACTGTGTATGCTAGGGAGGCTTTGAATGAGAGCAGCCCCTACTCACGGCACTGACTTCTAGATCCCAGGAGGAAGAATCTATAAAGAGTAAATATAGAGAAGTTCTCTTTAAGGGGAGAGTCCTGCTTGAAGGTCTATCACATTATTACAATTTCTTGGGGCTGGGGAGAGGGCTCAGTCATTTAGAGTACTTGCTGCTTTTGCAGAGGACCTGGGTTCAGTTTCCAGCACCCCCCCCCAACATGGGCACACGCGTGCACACACACACACATGCTCAGATAAAACACTAACACATGTAAAATAAATAACAAATCTAATTTTGTAAGTATTATAAATTCTTCTTATGTGCATTGTGCCTGCAGGTATATGAGGGCATTGGATCCCCTGGGATAGGAGTTACAGACAGCTGCTAGCTGCCATGTGGGTGCAGGGAGTTGACCCCGTGTCCTCTGGAAGAGCAGCCAGAGCTCTTAACCACTGACTCACTCCCCAGCTCCCCAAGTATTATAAATTCTAAGCAGGTTTAATCTTCTTTTTTTTTTTTACTTCCCTAAATTGAAGGAATGGAAATCTTAAACATTGTTTTGTTTCCACTACATAACATATTTTAGAACATCGAAAATGAAATTGCATTGTATGAAGACATATTTAACTAAGTGCCGTGTAATAAAAATGTCTACAGAGCAAATGCAGTATGACGTGAAGACCTCATAAAGATGGATGAACTGTTCTTTAAATGTGTAAAATTTATTTTTTAAAAAATGAAGACCATTCTTAGAAATCAGGAACCTTTTGGATCTGACACAGAATCGGACTAGCAGCTACCTGGTAGGAAGTCCTGAGATAAAGCCTGGAGATGCTTGGGCTTAGGAAAGGCCAAGGGAGTTACAGGAAAGTCAGCAGAGGGGTGAGGACATGAGAAGGTGGGGTACAATACTTGAGGGGTTGGCTGGGAAAGGAAACACAATGGGGAAAAATTGAGCCTTGAGTTTCCATCTGAGAAGCATGTAAGTAGAAACGTTGTTTCCTGGGATGGGGAAGGTTGAGACAGAGGTGTGGTCGATGTATGAAGTGAACAAAAACAGCTGGTAAATCA